GTAATGAGATCTGGCGCCCTCTTCTGTATACATAATAAATAAATAAAATCTTAAAAAAACAAAAACAAAAAACAAAAAAAAAAACAACAACAAGGATTTGTTGGTGTTTAGAACCGGTTAGTGACATAGGTGATATTTAAATAAATGCCTGCACAGGAAATGTAACTGCCTGTGTGATGTAGAAATATTCCCCCCTAAATTGTCCTTTGTTACATTTCAAAACCCTTGCAAAATTTGACTCTTACAGCATAAGTTGGTTTTACTTCTTCCCTCCCCTTCCCCCTCTTCCCTGTGTTGGGGATCAATCCCAAGACTTTATGAATGCTAGGCTAGAGATTCCACACATCTGTACCCTCAGCCCTCATTTCTCTATTGAATAGCCTTTCGGTGTCTCATAACTCATCTGGTCACAGGCAGATCTCAAACCAAGGACACGAATGCAGAATCATTTAACAGAGTTTCATGTTGTATTCTGATATATTCACTAGAGTTCAGATTGGTAACCTTAGCTTTGTTAAAGACTACCTTACTGAACCACACTCAAGACCAAGTTTCCTACGATGGTGCTGTTTATGCACATAAGCTACTAGAGCCTGAGAGTGGTGGAAAGTCAAGTTTAGACTTTCAGTTTAGTTTCTATGGGACAGTGGTCCTCAACCTTCCTCATGCTGGGACCCTTTAGTACATACAGTTCCTCATGTCCCTCAACCATAACATTATTTCATTGCTACTTTATAACTGTAACTTTGAAACTTATGAATCATCATGTAAATATCTGGTGCAACTCAAAGGTTGAGAACTGCTGATGATAGGACCTTTTAGGTAAGATGGGGTGTAATCTGTACATTTTGTGACTTGGGGCTCGGTTTGTGGAATCCAAGCAGTAGGTCAGACCCTCATTGTAAGATTGGGGTATAATCTATACATTTTGTGACTTGGGGCTTGGTTTGTGAATCCGACTAGTGAATTTTTTAATGGATAATGAAAAGTTAAACTTTGAAATTCTTATAAATAAACAATGCTCATTATGATAAAAACTTAAGGAATCAATGCTTGTTGATTTTGATAAGAGTAAAATTCTCATGTCTTACAGTTATTCTCTATATAGTATAATAGAGTATTTACTGTAACGTTTCCTAAAGTATGTGGGTTGGAACTAAGGCACTTTGCATAACTTAATACTATGTCGCTGCAGTTGTATAGATTTTATAAGGAGACAAAAGCTTGGCCATCTAGGTTTGCCCATATTACAGGACTGTGTTTTAAACTAGGAAGGTCAGTCCTAGGCAAACTGATCAGCCGATCTTCTAAATACAGTGGCCACAAAGTCTTACTTTGTAAAAAATGATCATTGGGAATTTGATTAAAGTTTGTTTAGGAAAATAAGCTTAAAATAATACCTACTCTTTTCTATTCTCTGTATGCTAACAAACTGTCATTCTGTGAAGAATAAATGTGCCTGTGGAAATCCAAGTGTCAGCAAACCGAAAGATGTAGGCTGCTTTTTTTTGAACATTTGGATGTCACACAGTGGCTAGCATTTTAACAGGGGCTTTATATTATGACCATTACGTTTTCTTCTATAATCTGGGGTCATAATGTGAGCAGAAAGAGTTGATGTGATATCTGAAATTAGCTGGTTGATAGCAGAAGTGAGTTTATGGCTTAGGATTTCCAACTCTGAATTTCAACCATTTCATCAGAGTTCATGATAGAAATGTGAACTGGCCACTAGTTAAGATCTTGATCCAGAATGAAAGATAATCTTTAGTGGCTTTTGACATTTAAACCTTTGGTAATGGGGCTAATTTGACAGTTGTAATAAAAGATAGGAGCTGTTGATTTAGAAAAATGATGTGTCATTTTGAATATTCTTAGTAGCATCATGTATCAAACAAGGAATTCTTATGCTATTAGGAGATGGTGCAGTCAGTTGTCTATACAGTGTTGTTTATTTGAACTCTTCTAATGAGTAGTTTGCAGAGAAAGAAATGGAAAGTAGCTGGCTTAATTCATATTTTTTCTATAAAATGCCTCTTTATTGTAATTACAGGCTTCTTGTGTTTTTTCTTGCCTTGTATTTTCTCTATTTCTTATCATGTTTTATTAGTCTGAAACGATGTAATTCATTGATATGCAACAGTAGCAAACACTTGATGTCTACATGTCTAACTTTGAATTAAATTCATGTCCCTCAGGTAAAAAGAACATATTCTCATGGTACTTACAGAGCTGGCCCCATGCGACAGATAAGCTTGGTGGGAGCCGTTGATGAAGAAGTGGGAGATTTCTTCCCTGAGTTCCTTGACATGTTGGAGGAATCACCATTTTTAAAAGTAAGAGAACATCGTAACATTCTAAATTGTGGGTGTTGCTTTCAGGTTATTGATACAGATGAATGGCTGTTTAGAATTAATTTTTAAAAAATTTTATTTAAATCTGAAGAAGGAAAAGGAAGGAAACGGTAATTTTGTGCTGTGTATGTGTGTAGTTTCTCAGACTTAATTGTGCTGGCCCAGTTAAAGGGTGAGCCAGCAACTGACATTGCCTGTTCCTGTAGATGAAGCACTCAAGGATTTAAGACTCCTAGAAAGGATACCTAGCACACATTTTAGGAACCAAGGTGTGTGGGCTTGACATGTGGGAAACTGGCCTGGGAGATTGCACAGCTGTATAAAACATGTAGCTCATTCTTATTAGTACATGTGGGGTTGGGGCACATACGAGCCATGAGGTACACACAACCATCAGCAGACAGCTTTTCTGCTGCTCCCCCCCAGTCTTTTTCATGTTAAGTTTCATCTCTTTTTTTCACATTTGCACGAATTGTGGGGCTGGAACTCAGGTCACCTTTTGTGTGCCGAGCTCTCAGCGCTGAGCTGTCTTGCCAGCCCTCCCTTTTAGTTTTGAAGCAGCTGTTGGCTGCACTTTTTATGGGTTGCCTGGGTATCCCATTGAGAGAGAAATCTCTGAACTAGGTAGTTAATTATTTAATAATCACTAATTCAGAGATGAGTGTGACCCTGTCCTGAAATGTAGGGCCGTGGCACACAGCACACATAAGCTGTTGCCTCTTCTCATTCACTCCAGTGTGACTGGTTTCCTGCCTATGCGTTTATATATGCTGGCTCCACCTCCCCTTTATTTTACTTTCTTTATAACTTTTAAACTTTTTGTTTCTTTCTCCTTTTCCAGTGAGTCAAGTACAGATAATCATTATTAAGCAGTATTTTGTAGAATATTACTGAAATAGTTGCTTCAAATTTTATTTTAAGCATTGTTTCTAGAAAACTTAGTTCTTTTTTCCAATGGGACTATGAGGTGATTGAAAACCCCGTCATTCCATCCTAGTGATCTTGTCTTCTTCCTTCCACCCTCCCTCACTTCTTTAAAAATTTAGCTTCTGCTTTAAGACAATCAGCCTTTTCAAGAAACTACTAAACAAGTATTTTGATTGGTTCTGTTTTTGATGTTGTTAGTATTTGATTATCACCAATTAAGGAAGCATTTTATTCTTTAAAACTCAAGTTTGTTTTCAAGGTTGTTGTGTGTAGAGACCACTTGCTAATTTTCACGATTTATTAAAAATATATAACCCTGTGTTTGCTAGAAAGAAAAATGACCAATGATGAATACATTGACTCCTACTTCTTAGCAGGGTGGTTCACTGAATTATCGGAGCGCAGTTGTTTTTCTGGTGTGTTTGAAGCAGAACCTTTTGAAGCTAAAACATATGAATAAATTTCTTTCTTCTCCAGTCTAATTTTAGCCTTTGTTAGTACATTGTAAACATTATTATAAGGAGAATTAAAGAGTAAATTTTTTTATATTATCAATCTGTTTCATCTGTTAACTTTCAGGTCAACGTTTTGTTTTTTCTTTTGGGATTATAATATGATTACATTATTTCCCTCTTCTCTTTCCCACCCCAACCACATATCCCTCCTTGCAATAGTTTTAGTATGTATTTGAAGATATATTTTGAAAATAATTAATTTGTGTAATTATTTGTTTCTAGTGTACATTGCCGTGGGGAACACTATCTAGTCTAAAGTTAGAGAGTCGGAAAGACAGTGATGACGGTCCCATCATGTGGGTGCGTCCAGGAGAACAAATGATCCCTGTGGCTGACATGCCAAAGTCACCCTTCAAAAGGAAAAGGTTTGTCATGCACAAGGGAGGATGGCTTGGGGTGTGTGTATGTGTGTGTCTATTGTGGAAGGAGGAGACATTTATAGCATAGGTGGAAGAAAATTCCCAAAATAGGCAATATGTTAATATACTTGGTTATAAAACACCCACAATAATGAGACATGAGAAATAAGCAAATGAGAATAAATTACAACCAGGAGTGTGTAGTTGGTTGTTTTTTACTCTTTGGGCTCTTTACTCTTTTGGGGGGCCCACTACCCAGCTCCCAGATAATCACATGGAAGCTTATTCTCTGTAAATGCCTGCCCGGCCTTATCTTGGCTTGTTTCTTGCCAGCTTTTCTTAAATTATCCCATCTACCTTTTGCTCTGGACTTTTTTCTTTCTCTGTTTCTGAATATCTTTCCTTCCTTCTTACTTCGTGTCTGGCTGTGTGGCTGGCCCCTGGATTCCTTCTCTCCTTTTCTTGTTACTTGATCTTCTCTTTTCTCCTTCTATTTATTCTCTCTGCCTGCCAACCCCAGCTGTCCTTTCTGTTCCATTGCTATTGGCCATCCAGCTTTTTATTAGATCAGTCAGGTGTTTTAGATAGGCAGAGTAACACAGCTTCACAGAGTTAAACAAATGCAACATAAAAGAATGCAACACATCTTTGTGTCATTAAACAAATGTAGCACATCTTAAAATAATATTCTACAACAGGAGTGGAAAAGATGTCACTCATACAGAGAAATAAACTTTAGAATAAATTTAACAAATATTCAAAACTTGTATTAAGAGCTAACCCTCCTTCTGGGAAGACATAAAATAATGCAAAGGGAAAAGTTAAGTCTTCCAGATTGGAGAGGAATGATGGACACTTCAACTGGTTTTTCATTTCACATGGACTTTTACTCCTAAAACTGGAGAGAATGAATTTACATCTTAAAAAGAAGAAACTGAAAGAAGGAAGTAAAGGGCACTAAGAGTTACTGAAAATTACCACGAGACTCAAATAGTCGCCTTTAATCCCATCACTCAGGAGGCAGAGGCAAGCACATCTCTTGTGAGTCCCAGGACAGCCAGGACTACATAGAGAAACCCTGTCTCCAAAAAACCAAAACCAAAAATCAAAACAAACAACCAAATCCTCAAATAGATTATTGGAAGAGGATAAAACTAATAAACAGATCTGAATATATTTACACTTAATATATCTATGAAGACAGGTGGAGAAAATGAAGTTGGAATTAATTGTTGGTAGTCTGTCTTAAAACAGAAGCAGAGTTCCTGTCTCATCAAAAATGTTAGTGCTTAACTGATAAACAGTAACATGCCACCATAAAACTTAGAAGCCTGAAAGACATCTTCCTAGCAGGGCCCAAGCAGACAAACCCAGCTAGCTAGTGGCAGTACTGTTTGAGGGAGAATAGGTCTCAACAGGAAAGTCCAGATCAATTATTGACTAGATTAAAATGTGACAGACGAAAGCTAATTCACCAAGGAGACTTCCCAGCTGATGAGAATATGTAAAAATCCAGTAGAAAAACAGTCACTTGGCAGGTGAGCTTTATTTGATAGCGGGGGTGGGGGTTGATTTCTGTTCATAATTTTGTCAACAAATAATAATATTACAGACTTACAGGCATATGAAGTAAGCCTTTTATATATTGTTTATAGAAGAGTAAGCAGTTTTGTGAAAGTAACATCTAGTTGTGATCTCTTACCCTTTGGAAGATCTATTCTGAGAAATAAAAACACCGAAAGCTAGTATGTAGGAATATTAATTGTGTCATTGTTTGTAGTAAGAAAGAAATTTAACTGGATCTGAATGTCCACCTTTAGGGAATGGTTGAGTGAGTATATTTCATATATTCTTGTAAAAAGTTGGTAGAATATTCTTAAGATCTGAAAGGGTATTTGTGTTGGCCACTTTGTAGGTTGCCATGACAAAATATCTGACAGCAGTCTCAAGGAAGAGGCCGTGTGTGTTATGTGTATTGAACAAAGGGTTTTAAGAGGAGGAGCCACCATGGCAGCAGAGCACGAGGCATCTGCTCCTGTTCTGTCCATCAGGAACATAGGCGTGCTAGTCCTCTTTGGGCATTTCCTTTGGGAACTCTTCTTTAGTTTGGAACTCTAGCTGGTGGAATGGCACCCCTTGTATTCAGGGTAGGTCTTCCTTCCTCGGTTAAATCTCTCTAGAAGTTCCCTCAAAGACAAACCTAGAGGTATGTATTCTAGGGGATTACACATCCAGCCAAGCTGACAAGATTAAACATTGTAATATTCACAACACTTAAAAAGAGCAAACTGTAGAAAAAAATCAGTGTAGAGGCAAAAGGTCAAAAATGAGAGCAAAATGGATCATACTTTTTCAGGCAGGGGCTACTTGGAGGCCGACTCCATTGACATGGTTTCTTCCACAGCCATCTGGAGCCCAACTCCTAATGGGCGGGGGACCTGCACAGAGATCCAGGATTGTGAGAAATAATGCTGCCACGTTTACTAGTCAAAGTAATAAAGGTGCTCACTTACCTATCCAAACAAGGACCAAATGGCCCAGGATAAGACCAAATAACTGCTCCTCTAGCTGCTGTAAAAGAACACCTACTGCTCCCTTTGCTAGGCTTGCTGCAGTGTATTTCAGTAAACCCTCTTTGTGATTTCATGTCCTCCAGAATTCCAGATGACTGTTTCACACTGTAATCAGGAATGAATCTAACATGATTATTTGAGACAGGGTCTTGTTATATATTCTGAACTGGCCTTGAGTTTGAGGTTCTCCTACCTGAATCTCCTGTTGGGATTACAGTCCATGCATTACCATGCCTCTTTTATTATTCTGTTTTTATGAAAAGGAAAAAAAACTGTCTGTGAATATGTATTTGTGTTGACAGTATGGTGGCTCATGCCTGTGGTCCCAGTATTCAGGAAGTTTAGGCAGGCAGATTACAAGTACAGTGGGCCAGTCTGTGCTATATAGCAAGTTCAAAGTTACAAAAGGAACTCTGGCTCCAAAAAGCACTGTGATCTTTGTGTAGTAGACAGTGGTTAACACAGAAACTCACAACTGGTCAGAGTGAACTGAGTGTCAGTGTCGTGTTCATCCATAATAGAACATTGATAACACCCCGTTACCCAGACGGTTAATACAGGAGAGGGAGGGAGCATTGTAAGAGCCAGAGGTCAGAGAGGACCCCGATGAAGTAATATCCTCTGGAAACAAAGGACTGCTGCATTTGTGAACTCACAGCTGTGGTCGCCTGCATAAGACCAGCAGAAGATGAAGTCAGCAGTCTAGCATGAAGGGGGCCAGGGAATCATGAGCCTTGACTCCTACCAGTTGACAGCTGATTTCTGAAGGAGGGACAGTCCAGTTTTGTTTTGTTTTTTTGTTTTTTTTTAAGAGTGTGGTCCCTGGTAGGAAAGGTCAGCTCTGTCCCAGTGGATGTTTTCTGTCACCCATGAGCAGCACAAAAAGGGCTTGTTGGGTTATTAAAGAAGCAGGGAGGTAGGGGGAGATCTGGGAGGAGTTATAGGGAAGAGTAGGAGGTGATTATGATGAAAATATATTTTATGCATGTGTGATGTTCTCAAAGAATTATTAAAATTTATTTTAAAAACTGTATGTGTACATGGAGCAAAAGTTGGAAAAATGTACACTAAGTTAACTTTGTGGTCATAGAGTTGGGGGTGCTAGGGTAGAGTGTGGCTTTTTTTCTGTAGATACCTAAAATGACTTTAATGGTTACATGGATTATTAAAAACAACAAAACAGGGTCTGGAGAGATGGCTCAGGAGTTAAGAACACTTACTACTCTTGTAGAAGACCCAGGTTCCATTCCCAGCACCCACATGGTGGATCACAGCCATTCATTGCCAGAGATCCAGTGTTCTTTCTGACTTCTGAAGGCATCAGACACACACATGATGTATTACATCTATTCAAGCAAAACATTCATAAACAGAAAATGAATAAATCTAGGACAAGAAACAAGACAGGACAAGATGACATTGAGTAGCTGGTAGTTCTCTTGATGCAGAGACTTATTGACTTGTTATGTGGTGTCTACTGCTTAATAAGTAATGGAATTAATGAGTTGTTGCTAAATCGGTAACAATCATAAAATTGTGTTTTTCGGAGCTTATTTTCTTTTTTTTTTTTGAAAGATTACTTTAATTTTTTTTTAAATTATGTGTTTTTGTTTGGGTATGTGTCTGTGTGGGTATGTGCATTTGTGGGTGTGTGCATGTATATGCAAGTGCTGTGTCTGTGTGTGGTATGTGCATTTGTG